TTTTTTAATTTTTGTTTTTATTTATTTGTTTTGTCCAGGAATAATGCCTCTTGAGTGCCAGCCTTCTGGGGATTTTAAAAAAAGGCCTGTAAAACTGGATTTAAAAATCAGGGTGATCACTGCTTTTTCTATCACACCCTATACAGCCTAAGGATCGATTCTCAAATACACATCTTCCTGTGGGACCAGAACAATACTAGAGACAATGTCTTCCCCACACAAGGCTGTTCTGTGTGAGATGTTATAAACCTCTAGATGCTTTTTCGGTTGGGTCTGTCATTGAAGAAAGCCTAAGTGGGGAGTGAAATCACACCTCTGTGTTTAGCATCTGTTCCTGCCGTTATTGGCCACAATCGCGGACCTTCAATAGTTCTTTGGTGCCCTAACTATATGGTGACATATTGTGCAAGGATTTTAAATGTTGTCTGGGGCTCATAAAGGGGATTGAAGTGCCTTTAAGAGGCGTACTCTCAGAGCCTGATGCCTAGTGTCTGCAGGAGACTTCCAGAGTGGAGGCAGCGGGGACGGAAGAGCCCCATGGCCCCTTCTCCCTCTTCTCTCCCTCAGCTCCAGCCTTGCCTGGACCTCCTACGACCACAGCCTGGTTGAAGTGCGGATGTGCATCTCCATGGCCGGAATGGTGGTGCTGGCAATGTGCCCTAAAGGCAGCCTTGTGGCTGTTGCTGGCCGGTTGCTTCCCACTCACAGGGTCCCAGGGGGCCGAGTGGGCTGCCTGGTGGGACCTCCTAGGCTGCTCTCGCTGAGTTGCTGAGTGGAGCACGGCCAAGTGCGTAGCCACTGCTCCGACTGTTCCTTCAGCGCAGAGTAGACTCATGTGAGACCTTGCAGCACTCTACTCCACGCACTGCCATCGGGTTGACTGGCTCCCACCGGCCCTGCAGGACAGAGTAGCCCTGCCCCTGGGGTAGCTTTCTGCGGGAGCAGACAGCCTCGTCTTTCTCCTGAAGAATGGAAATGGTTTTGAGCTGCTAACTGGTTAGCAGCCCAACGTAGAGCCCCCGACACCCCCAGGGCGCCTTTCTCACAGTAGGGACTCCGTGAGGCCACAGGAGGGGCTTCTTGGAAAGATTTTTTAAAACACTGCAGAAAACTGCTCTTATTTAGATTCGTTTCACCCCCTGCTTACGCTGGGCGGTGCCTGGGGGCCAGAGCACACACACCGCACCAGGTCCCCGTGCAGCCTTGCACACATGCTCTGGCGGCAGCCCCACTCATAGTCCGTGCAGACTAGGGAGAGCTCCAGGCCAGAGGGAAGTCACTGGCAGTGCACCGCTAGTTAGAGAAGCCTGGACCGCCAGCCCACCCAGCTCCTGCCTGGGTTGCCTCCTTCCGTCCTCCCATGGCCCTCTGCTGGCACTACCACAACCCAGCCCACCTGCCATCGAGTCCATGGCCGAGGGTGACCCGTGTGTGCCAGGTAGAAGCGTGCTCCATGGGTTTGGGGGTGGCTGGTGTTTCTAAATGAGAAGAACCAGGTCTTTCTGCCAAGGCACCTGTGGCAGACTCAAGCATCCGACCTTTGGAGCAGTTGACTCGCCCTGCTGTTTATCAGAGATGGAAGTAAAGATTTCCCCTCTGTGTTGGATCACATCATAGCCAAAGCTCATTGGACTTGTTCAAAAGAAAGGTGAGGGGACTTACTGAGCCCCCCCCCCCCCCACTTTGTACACACTAATGTTTGTGAGTGAGTTTACATACACACAAAAACCAGCGAGCTTAGACAGCCCAGGCGATTTACTCTGTGCCTAGACATGCATGATGTTTAAAAATACATATATATTCCCATAGTCAAGGAACTGGTGGCACGGTGGGTTAAGCATTGCTGTGTGGGAAAGAGGAGCCTGGCTGCTCCCATGAAGACTGGCAGTCTGGGAAACCCTGTTGAGGGCTGTTGTGAATGGGAATGGGCTCTGTGACTGTGGGCTTGGTTGTGTTGTGCTCTTATTTTACTTAATTCAGGTCCTAGTAATGCCCAGCTGCACGGTTCTATTTCTGTTTAGGCTAGAAGTCCCTCCTCCTCCTTTCGTTTTCTCTGGGGCAACTCCACCCTGCAGCACTGGGTTGGTACTGGCCTTATAGGCAAGAGACTCAATGCCTGCCTTCCTCCTGCCTGCCACAGCAGCTGCACAGGAGCTTCCC